AATGGTCCATACTTTTGTAAGGCTTTCAGTCATTTCTGTGATAAGCATTGTGCTTGAAAAAAGTACCAGTACCAGTAAAGTACCAGTTAACATGAGCAAATACTCTCCCCTTGCAGAGATTGAGTGTGATGAGCACTAATGCATTTGGGAATGCAGTAAATAGCTGGCTATAACAGAGTTTAAAATACAAGTTTGGTCTATAGCTGCAATCTACTTTTGTATGAGATTTTTAATATTGTTATAAGGGCCAGTTTTTGTCCATGGAGTTTTCTTGGCAGTCGTTTGCCAGTTCCTGATCCAGGAAGATCACGTTTAGTCAAAACTCTCCACTATGACCTGTCCGTCTTGGGTGGCCCTGCACAGCATAGCTCATACCCGTATAGTTAAACTATGGTTTTCCCAGTAGTGATGTATGGAAGTGAGAGTTGGACCATAAAGAAGGCTGATTGCCGAAGAATTGATGCTTTTGAATGATGGTGCTGGAGGAGACTCTTGAGAGTCCCATGGACTGCAAGAAGATCAAACGCGTCCATTCTTAAGGAAATCAGCCCTGAGTGCTCACTGGAAGGATAGATCCTGAAGCTGAGGCTCCAATACTTTGGCCACCTCATGAGAAGAGAAGACTCCCTGGAAAAGACCCTGATGTTGGGAAAGATGGAGGGCACAAGGAGAAGGGGATGACAGAGGACGAGATGGTTGGACAGTGTTCTCGAAGCTACCAACATGAGTTTGACTAAACTGTGGGAGGCAGTGGAAGACAGGAGTGCCTGGCGTGCTCTGGTCCATGGGGTCACGAAGAGTCAGACACTACTAAACGACTAAACAACAACAAATAAGGGCCAGTGTGCTTTGTTTGCATTTTGGATGTTCTAAGGCATTAAGCATTGAAAGTGTGAAGCCCCAAACTGATTGCCAGTTGCGTATTTTTAATTCCCAAAGGGTTACATTTGGAGTGCCAATTTACAAAGGTGCGTGAACCACCTCTGGAAATATGTGGGACCAGGTTTCTGGCTCAGCTGTGATCACATGGAGATGCTGATTGCCAACCCTGCAGAAGTGATTTCACATCTGGGTCTCAAGCCCAGTTGGCCTAACATGATACCAGAGGTGCGAATTTGTCTGGTCAAGTGGTCCCACATGATTCCTGCCAGGTCACAAGTAGAAATGTTCAGGGAATTTGCTTGATCCAAATTCCAAGTGAACTCACCTGATCCACACCTCACTTGTGAGTCAAAACTGCCACAGCTCTGTGGGTCTTCAAATGGCCCTAGAAGTGATATGCCATGCCATCAATCCCAAGAAATTTGTTTGGAGGAAAGAAAACATGGCTTCCACCAAAGGCTATCTTTTTTTCTGTACGATATCCCTTGAAGGGTTAGGTATGTCCTCTATATGTCTGTCAGTTTCCCCATATGTATTTAAAACCCCATTAATAAACCCAGGTTAAATTTATCCATTCTCTCATGGCAAAGTCCATCTCATGACCAAGCTTGACCATGTTTTTAAGAAGTTCTGAAGCATTCTGATGAAATTGGTGGCAGCAAAAAGATTAAAGAAAGACGCAGGTACTTATGTTGTAGACAAATGAGCTGCGAGGGACCTATTATCCCTGACATGCTCCTGTAGTGATGGTGTATAATCACCTCTTGGTCTCTGTAAGTATATATATGTAAGAATTTTAGACCAAAAATGAAACCACACTACATTTAATTTTTTTAATTCTCACCCATCCCAGATTCTTATGGTTCCTGGACATAGCATTGTTTGAAAATATGTCACTGCATGTTAAACTCTCCCAGGAGAAATATTAGCCATACTGAAACAAACTAGCATTATCATTCCATCCCAAGTAGTACTTGGAGTGACTAGTCTGCCCAATCCAGTCATTCCACATGGTAGTGAAGGAAGGAAGGATGGGGAGGCGCTTGTGTGCTTGTGGGTAGCACAAATAGGTAGCAGTAACTAACCCTTACACTGCTGAGAAGGAAATACTCTGTGAGAATGCATGATTCAGAGAGAAAAAGTAGAATCACAGATGGCAAGCAACAAAAAGCTTGGAACAGAGACACAAACATCACACGGACCTACGAAGCACAAGCTTTTTGCTCAGCTTGTTGGCTTCTAGAGTTGGAAAGGATGTGGCTGTGACTGAAATCCAGCCTATTTGTGCTGGACAGCTCCCACTGCAGGATCCAGCTGTAACTCTGGCTCCTTTCCAGGAGACATGGCACTGCATACTCTTCAAATCAGGAAAGGGAGCTATATAAAAGTGAGTGCTGTGCTCTGGACAGGAAGAAACGCTCTAGCCCAGGGGTTCTGAAACACTGATCTGCAGACTACCAGCGGTCTGTGAGCTGCATTCAGCAGTTCCATGGCATGGATGTAAAGATGCAATTAAAAACATACAGTATCTGGCTTAGTACATTGCTATTTCTAGAACAGGCAGAAAAGTTGTTAGGTGGTTCACCAAGTCAATCAGCAATTTTCAAGTGGTTGGGTGGGGAAGGCTTGGGAAGCACTGCTCTATCTCTATATTATTTTATTTTTATTTTCTATTTCTTCTTTCTGCCATAAAAATACTAGCATAAAAATTCTTTCTGCCATAAAAATGCTAGCATATACTCCCAAAAGTCATTCTCTGATTTTAGGGTATTGTCTTTATAGTAGTTCCTATCCTGTTGTTTGCATTATGTTGTGCCTACGATCATTTCTTGATTTTTCAGTTCCACAAAAATCAATAGAATTCTGTCTGCCAAGGCCTAAAGCAATCTCTGACCTTTGGAATGAATTGCATGCAGTTTTGGAAAGTTATTGTCCTACACATTTATAGTGATAGACACAGAATACAGTGAACTTTTTGCAGTTCATCTCTTCTCCTTGTCAGAAAATATAAAGAAAGGTATTATGACGATTGCCATATATTTAATGAATGGACAACAATACAAAGTTTGGGGGTTAATAATATTGATATTTATTCACTGAATAAATTTCTATACCACTTTTCAATAATACAGTGGTATGCAATATATATGTGAGTGACCCACTATAAGAGTTGTCAGATTAACCAAGTTATTTTGATGGAACATGATCAGCACTTCTCCATGGTGTTTCAGGAGCACTGGGAACATTTGATATTCAAAAGGGGTCAGTAGGTTCTTACAATCAACAGGATATGTTGTTTCTATTTAAGAAGTTGCATCTCTTCTGGAGCAAGATCACTTTTTTGTCTGGGTTAAAGAGGTCATACCCATCTACAGGCTAAAAAAGGCAAACTCTGTAAGGCCATATCTAAACACTTGGAAGAGCAGGACTGGAATATCTTGCGGAATGGATCAGCCCATTCACTTTCATTAATGAAATTCCAATCGACCTTTATAATATATTTATTTGGCTTATTTTACCAGCTTCCTCGCAGGAGTATCACATGCAGAATTTCATACTGCAGAATATATATTGCAGCCTTCCTGCAATCAAGATACACTATGTCCAGAGCATTCCCCCAATCCACCAAGCTTGTAACTCCATCAAAAAAAAGATGAGATCCATCTGGCATGACTCAAAAGAGTAACCCATGCTGAGTCTTAATAATCAAAGCATCCTTTTCTAAGCGCTCACAGACTTAACTGTTGAATTATCTGTTCCTTTACCACCTCTTTTCCTATCTTGGGCTGCAGCTCCATCTGTACATCATTTATTCTGTTATCACCAGGTTGGGCATCACTTTCTTTTTGGATAAAGACAGAGGCCAAGTAGACATGTAATGAAGGTGCCAGGATGAAGGAAGCAATACATTTGAACACACATTCCTTGTCCTGAAAATAAATGCTAAGGAAGCACGTATTAAAGCCACTTCTGTATATGTCTGTCTGTTTTCACTATTACTTCTGTTACCATTTACTTAGTCACTCCAAATATTTTAAGCTGCCATGATTTTCCCCCTCAGGAAAATTTAAGGTATCCTTTAAAATAAGGAATAGCTGAGGAGGCTTCCACTATGATTTATCATTTATCTTTTGTAGTTGACAAAGAACAACAAAGCATCTCAGTAGATAAAAGAGAAAGAAGAAGGAAAAATAGAAAAGAAAGAAGGGTGCAGGCACTGTCTAATATGTTATACATCCCTCAAAGGAAGGAAACATGTAAGATGTCTTTGGATTCTTGCCATGCCAGACAACTTCAGAAGATCTAATACTCTTAAATATCACATATCCTTAGAAAGTACAGAAGTCTGCAGCATCCAAGCATATTTCTGTCTTTGAGAGCTAGGGTGCAAAATATGTAGAACTGTTGGATAGCATGCTATTTGTATGCAAACTCCCCACCACCACCACCACCATCAAACCAATATTAGAATCTTTCTGTTGTCATTGCTTGGTCTCAAGCTCCCTAGATCTTGCAACAAGGAGGACTAATTTGGATATATGTGAATTCAGAAAGTAGTTACATAATGATTATTAATGGTGCTTGTCAAAGGCCAGCACAGTGAGAATTTGTGAATTACAACATCACAATTGCTAGTTCCTTTTATCTCACAAAAAAGAGGGCCCTTATTAAAGCATTAGTCCGTGATTCTGATGTGTCTCCTGAAAGCAACTAATCAAATATACCTAGTTCCTGGTGGTTTAATTCAAAAGCTGTGTGTTGCACATATACTTTCACTGGGCCATGCATTCCTTTTCTCTCTCTCGTATAGCCTTGTTGTTATGGCCATGTGCTATTGATCTCTTTCCCACTACTACCACCAATTCGCTGATTTCAAACAACTGACTGAGAGACAAAAATTATTCTGGAAACACAAGGTTTCTGTGCTGTCTCTTAGATGCCTGTGTTAAAAATGTTAATGTCATTGTTAATACTCCATACCAGATAGTTATGAAAATATACCCAGCCAAATTTTGTGGCTCACCTAAAATACTATGATGCACATGTGAGCTTTATAAACGCTCTTGTTTTTTCCTGCAATTCTCTGATACAACTGACATCTGTTGCGGCTTCGGTCTACTTAGAAAGGGCACCTGTAAACACAGATATTATGAAGGGAACAGCGAAAAGGGAAATGTCACTCTACTAAGTATGGATTAAGACATATTTTGCTGTTATAGGAAATATTTTAAAGCAGTATGCACTCATCATAAATAACACTGTCTGATGTGTTTTATACTTCAGAATAGTTTTTTGAGTACAAAAAGTAATACTGAGAATGATAATAAAGAAAGATGGATTGGGGTAGATGGATATAATCAGTAGCTACCACAATGTGTTTAGAACTGGGAACAAGAAAGACTGCATCAGAATAACCCCTGCATTAAAATATATGGTAATGAAAGTATTCTAGAAGCAACTGTTGTCAATATGAGCTTACATGCTAGGCATATTACTGTAATTTGTTACAGCAAGATTGTGGGTGGTTATTTATCAAAATGGACTTGTTGATCATGGGGTCCTGTTGAAGCTATGGCAGTATAAGTCCCTTTTTGCTGCTACACATCTGGAAACAGTTGGGATGAAAAGCTTTTAATTTCCATAGCCTCAATTTTCAGTGGCTTAAACCCTCTTCCACCTTTCAAGAGAAGAGAATAAATGCAGCAGCAGCATTCCCTGCCTGTCAAGGGGCTGTCAAGTGAGCCCAGGTTATCCATAGGGCAGGAAAGCAGGGGAGGCATGGAATGCAATTAGCTTTTTGTTAACAGAAAATGACAACAAAGTAGAGTCCTCTGGTTCATCTTAATCCGTCTGAGATGTTGCTGAAACTGACCACTAGCCTTTCACACTGGATCCCTACCAAGCAGATGAAGGCTGCATCGAGGTGTATTCTCCTCAGGGCCTCTCTGGCCCATTGCTCAGCAACATGCAGGACTCTTCTCTAGCAGGGTGTCAGTGGGGGATGAGAGCCAGCAGGACTGGGACTGTCCTGCTGTTGAGTAGCAGGGGCAACATCTGATTCCTCTCTGAGTCTGTGCTCACACTGAGACTCTCAGCTTCCGGCCTTGTCCTGAAAGGCCTTCCTTCTCCTGACCCCTCCTTGATTGCTCAAACCTCTTGCTTCTAGCACCTCCCCGCTCATCCTTTCTCCAGACTGCTCTCCAGTGTCCCATCACCACAGTCTGGGGTCCAGGCCCTCCTCTTCCATGTCCTCCTTGGAGGGCTACTCCCACCACTCTTCCTTATCCAGCCAGTCCCTGACACTGCATCCACCAAACATGTGTCTACTGGACTGTCAGCACAATCTAATTAAGAGGACTTTCTAAGCAGAGTATCCAATTCTATGAATGGCTATGGCAAGCTGTTGTTTCCCCCTACTACCATGAAAGAACCCCAGCCCAGCCCAGTTCCATGATGCAGCCTGACTTAGCTGCATGTCCAAACAAGGCCAAAAGTGGGATGGTTATTGTAAGCCTAAGTCATATAGGCTAACCGTGAGCATGAAACATCAATTCAGTACAGCATCTCTACTGATTAAGCTAAGTGTGCTGATACATTTCCATGCTTTTTGGAGCCTAGGGTCAAAATCTACCCTTATCCAGGAACTGTGTGTGTGTGTGTGTGTGTGTGTGCGCGCGCGCTCCTTATTTCTAGGTAACATGCATGGAATCATACCTAAGTAAATTTTTAAGAATCATAGAATTGTAGAGTTGGAAGGAACGCTGAGGATCATCTAGTCCAACCCCCTGCAATGCAGGAATATGTAAGATTCTTAGCTATTGGTTGTTTTTTTCAAATCCTAGAATCATGACCTATGCCTGCTTCTTTTAAGCTACTGGTGTGTTCAAGCCTTTGATCCAACCGGAGGCTATAGAAATCTACTAGTCATCTTCTTCTGCTTCTTTGAGGCATAATAAATAGGCCATTAGTTTCATAGGTTCTCCTTAGGATTGGCCACAAACAGCTTGTTGCTTCTCTGGTGATGTCTCTTGACAGCAGTCAAAGGATTCCAGAGAATCTGTTTTGTAAGCTGCTGCTCTAACAGGATGTTTAAAACTGATTTATCAAAACAGTGTTAATTATTTAACAGTGAAACAATCTTGACTCCAAAGCTTGAGGTGGGCTAATCCTTTTCAGTACCAATATTCTGTACATCTGGCATTTTGCAAATTACATATTCTGTTTCTCAGAACCACTATATTTATTACCAGAGGAAAACAGATTATTAATTACAGCCAAAGGCTGCTTTGATTAAATATACAATTAATTAGCTATGCTAAGCCCATCCCAAAGCTCCTAATATTTTCAGCTGGGTGATTTTTCCAGTATTTTAATTAAAATTGTTCTTAAAAAACCACAAGTTAGCTGCATACACACTTAAACTGAAGTTAGCTCTTCAGTATTTTGCTGCCTTCTGCATGCTTCCTAATTAATCTTTAGTGATTAAATGTACATAAAAACCATCTGAATGGAAGGCAATTTGTGTAGATATGGAACAGTGGAGAGCTTTTACCCGGACTTGGCATGATTGTTTTATCTGTTGAAAATTATTTCCAAGGGCCTCAGATGTTAATTGTTTTGATGAGGCAGACGTGCAAGCATACCTGCCAAACACAGCAAAAACAGCATCATCAAGAAGCTATATTATTCATTCCAAATAGACATCTGTAGAAAGAGGACAAACTATTGCCAAGAGTTGGTATGCCTTTTGACTTGTTTTACTAGAGTTGCTTGGGTGCACGTTTCATGGCTCGTTCTCATCAACAAAAATCGTACTGTCTAGAATATTCCAATATTCAAAAGATGTTTGGGGAAGGTAATGGAAACAGTTATGAGGTGTGGGAAAATAGTCTTCAGTCATAAACAATGGATGCTGAACTATAGGAGATTGGGACTGTTCTGTGGGTAGGGGGTGATAAACAAGAAAAGGTGGTGTCAACATAGAAAAAATAAAAAATACTTGTTACTCATAGGAAGAACTGAAAAAGGTGTAACTTCCAAGAGACCTGATTAACCTAATAGATCCATAAAAGGCTGGTCTCTCTAACAAGAATGCAAACAGATCTTCACTGCACCAGTATTAATTACAAATAAGCATATTAAATTGTTTCCAGTATATCATACCTTGAGTTGACCAAAATTCATATAAAGCAAATTTTGAGGCATGTGCAGGCATTCTAACTACACTTCCGTAGTGGAAACCAGAAAGGAGAAATGGATCGGTCTTTCTGTAGATACACTAATAAATTAACTCTTTCTTTGTCCATTCTTAGACCCAGAAGCTCAGTCAAATTCTGCTTACACTCCACAACAGAGGTGTATTCCAGCAGCTCTTGCACTTTTTGGTAGTTAACATAGAGTTATGAATCCCATTGTTGTTGTTAATATTATTATTGTTACTGTTATCAGCATTCATATAGCAGTTTTAGAGACTCCTCAGAATATTATTTGTTTGAGATCCATAGGGATTACTTTCTTTAGTGTGTGAAGGTATACTCTCTCCCATTAACCTCCATATGCTGTAATTATTCCCTCCATCTTTACAAGTAGAATAAATAAATTCATAAAAATGGAAACAGGAAATATTAAATGTGATATATTGTGGTATTTTTTTTCACTGAATGCAAAAAGAAATCTGAGCGATGAGATTTTCATACAAAGGCTGCATTAACTCATTGGGTAAAACTCTGCAAGTCAACACCTGATGTCACCAAAATGAATCTCACCTTTTGTATACACTCCTCCATATTAAAAATATTTTATTGGTGGGGGATTCACAGGTTTGTTAAAAGCAAAGACACACCCACACACTCCACACACACACACAAAAACACCTTCAGTATTCTAATTCAACACCTTTGAAAGCCAGATGAAATAATTACTACTCACCTGAAAACAATCAGAGATGAAACAAGTCTAACTTCTTTTCGGACTCCTTAATGAGATTGTTACCAGAGAGGAGGCCATGTCTAGAGTTCACACCCAAACCTCTTCAGGTAGCAGGACAAAAAGCAGGGGCTTCAACAATTATTGCAACTTATGGACAAGTTCATATGGGTGGAAGTTGTCTTTCAGATATCCTTTTTAGTGCTTCATAGGTAAGATTCCGATTAATACAGAATGTACTCCAGCCCTCCATCAGCTTACCAACCACCAGTACTACCTCTGCCTTTTCTGGAATGAGCTTCAGCTTGTTAGTCACATCGAATCCACATTGTATTCATGCTCCCTAGAGATCATTCAGAGGTTCTGTAACCTCCTTGGCATTAGCAGGAAAGGAGAGAGCTAGGTTTCAAAAAAACATTGATAACTCCCAACTTGCAACCTAGGGGTGACATCTCCTTGGTTTCATGTAGATGGTAAAAAGCATGGGGGACAAAACAGAGGCTTCAGAAACCCCACAGACCAACAACCAGGGGATGAGCAACAGTCCTTCTGAACCACCTTCTGGGAATGTTAAGTCAAATGGGACTGTAATATAATTTCCCTCCTTAGAGAAGGTTGCCTCTGCCTACTCTAACTGCATCTTATATTTTGATTTTGCATAAGTCATTCATAAATGGACCTCCAGGAGAATATTGTCTCTTCTGCAGACATTTAGATGCACAAGTGATCACTTCTGCCTCTCTCTACAAGGTTCATAGCATACTACATCACTGGACATAATTAATTATGAATTATATGCTCTTGCTGTGTAAGGCATAGCAACAGAAATCCTATTGATGGTTCTTTCAGCTCTCCAGAAGCCATTGTAGTCTTCAATTCTGATACAGATGAATGAAGCAGGGCATGTGAAATTCCACACCACCAACAAAGGGGATTGCCTGCAATTGAAAGTGTATATCCTGGTTTATTTTTATTTTTTTTTAAGATGTATATGACACTATAGAGGTTAAGAATGCCAACAGAAGTTATATGTCAGTGACACAACAAATAGATTCACATAACCAAACCCTAGACAGACTTGATGGTGCAATACTTATATTACAGAAGATGAACTTCAGAATGGGGACTCAGGTGGCTTCCAGACTGCAGCTCCCGTGCCAAAAAGGAAGCATCTTTCCAGCTAAGCCTGCAGGAGCTTTGCTAAGCTTGTATCATCTGGGAATTAGTCTTTGCAGATTTTATTTTCTCCAGAAGCTGCATCTGGGAGCCAGGTCCATCTGTGGTGCCAACTGTGTGTGCCAACTGGTGACCAAGCACTATGATGCTCTCCCCCCCCCAATTGTGAGTAAATTTGGCAACCACATGCAAGTTCATTCCAGTGATAAATGGTGGGTAAAATAAAAAAAACTGCCAACATGAACTTAGAAGACACTATCTGTTCTTGGTGTGTATTTAGCTTTGTTCTGTTATATGCATATTTTTAAAACAAGGTTTTAGGTAGTCTTATCATAGGATGAGTGATTAAAAAAATCTAATATCTGGGGTGCATTGTGATATAAGAATTCACCAGAGAATGTTGCAAATATATTTCTGACCAAAATGGTTCTTATGTTTGCCCAACAGTTGCAAGAAGACTCTCTGGAAGGGAGTCAAGTCTTCAGCTGATGGGCTTTGTATAGGACCCAAAAAAGGAAATTGGCAAAATGTAAAACCGTCCCTAAGCTTTCTCCATTATATCAGTGAAACTGAAGTTTGGGATTAAGCTGCATCCATGATCTAAAGGAAACAAATGTTAACTATATCCGTCTACTTCCCCCTTTCCTAAAGGAAAGCAGAACAATGTTTGACACCAGTTTAGCTGTAGGAGTTGCTAGAAAGAAGCTTACAAGATGCCATCCAACAATCTTAGGGACTCCACTGCGGCTTTTTGTAAGATTTACTCCTTAGCCTTTTCTTCTCCCAAAGATATCCCACAAGGCAGAAGAAATTTAGGGTCAGAGTTTTCCTTCTCCTAGCTGGGCTGCCTTCGCAGGTTGATGAACCCCATCTTCCCCTCACTTCCCTCTACAGCACATGCAGAAACCACCTTCTTGATGGTTAGACCCACTATTGGTCTTATCCGCTCAATCCACCAGAGCCTGTCTTCACATGCAGGGGGAGGTCCCTAACTCACTGAGGGTTTGGGACTCACAGGTTGCCCTCACCTGGTTTAGCTGCACAGTCAAAGCTGTTTCCCGGGGTGTGGCCACTGTGGCATGCTGACAGCTTCTAGGAGCCACAGATAAGAGCTGAGTGCAGAGTGAGGACCAAACTAGTCCAGAAGGAATACAGTCATAGAACTGATTGGTATTGTGAGTGAATTTAAATAGAACCTATCAGACCAGTTTTAGAACTGAGTAATAAGCCTATCTGTATAGATATTTATTATAGGCTGGATCTATGGTGATCTGGAAAACGTTATTTTTTATATTAAAAAAAAAGCTATAAAAAATCTCCCAGTGCAATTTCCCATTGGCAAAAGATCACTGCTTTCCAGCACACTCTGGTGTCACATTTTTAAACACATTTTTAATGTTATAACTCATCAGTATAGATTTGTCCATAGTCTGCCATAGTGAGAGGTGAACTGTGACACAAGCATGTGGGCTGACTGTGGCAAGCAGGTACAGCAAGTTGATAAGTAGCAAATATATATGTGACCTGCATTTTTGTTTCTTAGCCCCTGTGCTGTGTATGTGCACTAAACATCCAACCTTCATTTCAGTGTCTTAAAAGGGGAAACTAATCTATCCTGTACAGATAGAGTTGACTGACTACAATAAATATGTTCATTTTGAGCAATTTTAGTTGAATATCTGTAACTGTTCCACAAGCCTATGAGCAATTTTAAGACACTGACTCATTGCTGTCTTTTGTCTACACCCTTCTAAATTCACAGACGATTGATATAGCTGACCATAACAGCTTAGAAGGAACAGTTACAGCTGAGCATATCCACAGAGATGCTTTAGAAAGTCTTAATGTTCAGAAATCTAATATATTATGGAAGAAATATCAGCGTTTGCTCATGCAGAACAACAGCTATTTTAATGAAACACCTTATCTCTTTTCAATTTTATTTTTTCCATGAAATACCCAAGGGCAATAATCCACTTGCCAGATTAATAGCCTGAAAAATATTACTTTGAAAGAATTAAACAATTTTGAGCTAACTTCTATGAACACATTAAGGCACCAGGAAACATTTGTCTACACCATGTCTCAATAAATAAGAACTAATGCTGAGATTTGTTCTTAAGATAAAAAAATGTATATGTATTCACTAGCTCCTAGTCAAAAATGTGTACAAGCAAGGCACAAGGCAGAGCAGGGAGAGGTATGCTTATCCCTTTCACCTTCTTGTCGCTTCTGAGCTCTAAATTGATGCCACTAAATCAGGGGGACATCAGGGAGATATTGCGTGGCTCTCATTAGCCCCAGCCAGCATAGCTGATATTCAGAGTGATGGGAGTTGTTGGCATCCGTCTGTCTCAGGGCACAATGGAAGAGTGCACCTTTGTGGGTGAAGTCAGACTGTTGGAAGGTTGCAGTGCCTGCTGTGGCTGTAGAGACCAATATCGGAGGTACATATTTTGTTGTAGCTAGGGCAGGTGAAGGCGTCCGGTTGTGTTGCTGCAGGTTTCTTCTGTCTGTGCTCCTCCCAGTGGCCATTCCTCATCTGGTTCCAGTTATGGATACATGATCCGACTGTCTTGTCTCCAAACTTGCCACAGGGCAGGGTTGATGTTGCCAGTCTTAATGAAACATTTGTAGACATCTTTGAATGCAGAGCTGGTCTGGCAATGGGCCTGGTGCCTGAAGCCAGCTCCCTGTAGAGCACATCCTTGGGGATCTTGTCATCTTCCATTCTGTGGACAATGACCAAGCCAGCGTAGGCGTCACTGAGACAGGAGTGTGAAGATCATATGGAGGACCACAGATTCTCCAGATGATTTCCCCTGCAGGGTTCAAGTGGACATTGTCCTTCACATGTGTTTGAAAACCTGTTGCAGGACAGA